TTAACTTCTATGTTTATCTTTTTCTCAGGGTGTACATAACAAGAGTACATAAGTTTAATAAGTTGAATGCACAGAAGTTCATAAATTCCTAAAGTTTCAAAAAAATTGAATGGGACCGTGCTGTGAGATAAATTGTTTGATTACGTAAAGTTATAACTATCAACTAAAAGTATTGATAATGATAACAATCTGATAATTCAATACTAAGTACTGGATTAGGCAGAAAATTTCTCACGACACAATGTTACGTCTGACCGTTTGGACGCTATATTCGCTTCTGTAAGCTAGTTACGTAACCCCAGGCTAGAACTATTCAGCGATTTGAAGACCAGAGAAAAGGCACAAAGTGTGTGGGAAGCACTTTACTACAGGGTTCATTTATGTACAGAAAATACGAGGATTTTATAGTAATTTAAGAGTCCTTGAGTTTTACTGAAAGTTCTAGAATACTGCTAATCATAGTAGCAGTGTATCAATCAGCTAATCAGGATCTCCACATGTGACATTTCCATTTTCGTTATTTTAGTAACATAACTTCACATAACTTCTAATTAATCGCTGATTGGTTGAAATGCTCCTTGATGACCCCTGAGCTTGTTATGTCGCTTGCGAGAAAAATGCAGGGTCATCCCAACACACAAACTATTCAATTTCAAATCAGATTGCCTAATAAAAACACTTTCTCACCTTATATATGTTCACCTGATAGATTCAAATGAGAGGATCCTTTTTCTATTGAAAGGATACATAAAATGACTTGAATTTTTAAGCGTTTAGCTTTACCATCGGTTGTAAGGTTTTTATAAAAGCATCTTGAATTGAATATGACTAACATTGAAATTAACTGAATAATACACACGCAGCTAAGGAATTGGTGTACAAAGCTCACTGTAATGAAACGTTTAGTAGCACTCCATTTAGTGTTTGTCGTAACAAAAAAGTAAAATGTAACTCAACACTATCCAAGCTATTTTTCGAATAAACTATCGAAGAACAGTTGTCAAATATAAAACTATTTTCTTGTCATCGGTGACCATCAACTGTTAGTCAATATGACATCACTTCGTACTACACAATTATATCAAAATTATAGGCGTAATATCTAACGAGATTAATAAGTGATTGCAAACCAACTTATAATGATCTGTGGTGAGGTTCAATATTGAAAGCATCAATACAGTTCATAAGACCAGTACTTTTATTTGTTCACCATGAATTGTGACCCGAATCGAACAAAAAGTAGAACTTTCAACTCTGAAGAAACCATGATATTATTTCAATAAAAGTCAGGAAACAGTATTTCTCATTTTTGATATGTAATAACAATATATAAAGGTCATCACCAGGTATTCTATTCACTTTGGCTTCACTACTTAAAGCATGGATTATAAAGCAACCAACTAAACATTAGCAAATCAATGTTCAGTCTAGTGCCTTTTTGTAAAAAGAAGAAAATTTTGTTTAACAATATTTTTTGTCATGTAACAAATTATTTAAACTATAGAAATTTTTAAATTTTCAGTCAGAAAAATAATTTGGTTATTAATATACACTATATATTGCATATAATAAAATATTTGACCAGTTTATATTTAATTTCAGTAGTTCAGCTTTTGGTTAGCGCTTTTTAGTGAATTAATTTTGTACGGGATGAGGTCGCTAACTCCTTGCTCAACCCTCCTCCTTTATCCGGGCTTGAGACTGGCAGCAGCCTCCGCAGGAACTACAGGCGGAGTTTTATCATTTATTATTAAACAGATATTTCATAATTATTTAATTAAATATAACGAATTATTATTTTGTAATTATTTAATTAAATGAAATTATTCAGATAATAGATTTTATATTAAAAGTCTTAATTTCAGTTGTATCATTTTATTATTCATACTGTATATAATTATGCATTTTATATATATATAATATGATCTAAATGTTTGAAAATCATCAACCTGGTTATAATTTATGCTTGTTTGATGTAGGTTGAAGTACATGTATATGTAATTCAGTTGAAAATGTCATTATGCATTATCTTTAAATAAGAATATTTGATGCTTTTGTAAATTTCATCTTTTTTTAAAAATTATTTTTTCTTTTAATTTTTTAAAATATTTAAATTCATAATTATTAAATGGACTCTATATATAACTAACTACAGTAACATATAAAGAAAAGCAAAAAAAGAAGTATATGTATATTTAAATGACAGTTTATTGTGTAATTATGGTATCAAAATGAAGTAAACATTAAACATTAAGACAGATAAAAGGAATAATATGTATTCAAATGGAATTTCAAAATTAATTAAGAAAATATAATAAGATATTCTTAGTAAATCATGTAGTTCTATTGTTTAAATTATTGTACATTAAAATTTGATAAAGTTTAATATTGGTTTATTGGTTTAGTTTATTGTAATAAGTACCTAATGAATTAAATTCACTTGATGTTGTTTACTTGTATCTTTCGATTGTTATTTAGGACTACAATTGATCATTCTCTTATTAGCATACGTGCATCCTGTGAGGACTGCCTCGATATTGTCTTAAGTCGCAAGTATTAAAAGTAAAGATGGATAGTGGCTAGCAGTGGAATTCAATACGGGCGTTTCGTCCTATTTGGGACACGTGAGCTGGAGGTACCTGCATCTCAGAGGATGCATATATGCCAACAATGTGAAGATATAAGTAAACAATACCAAGTGCATTTAAACTTCACCTCATTACACAAGCAGGTGGCTATCAGAGCTCAGTAGCTAAGTGGATAACGCGATGACGTTTGATGCGAAAGGTACTGGGGTCGAGTACCAGAGTGAACATCAACTCTGAGATGCAGGTGCATCCAGCTGTCGATTCCCAAATAGGACAAAACGTGCGTCCTGGATCCAAACTGCTAGCCACTATCCACCTTTGCTTATATACCTGATGAATTGTAAATGTATTTTTTATTAATTTGTAACTATTATACTTATCTTAATAATGAAAGCTGCAAACAAATTTATGAATGTAGTATGGGAAAAATAATAGTCTTCAAATTATATCTCTGAAATGTAAAATATTTTCATAACTATAAATATCAATGTTTATTAGTGGTATTAAGTTATTAGATAAGAGTTGAATGTCATATTATCTCTTAGAGAAATTTGATAGGTTAGTAAATTACATTTACTTCCCCATACCTTATGTCAATTTCTTCACAAAGCCTTATTCTTTAAATTTTCACCATTACCTACTATACGTCTGGTAATCGTATTTTTATCTTAACTTGTTATAACTAATTTCAAAAAGTACTTCATAGTTTAGTATAGAACGTTTAACTTTATTAGAGTCTTTTTCGGGTGACTCTGTTATTTTGTAAATGTAAATAAATGCAAGCTCAAGAATACGTTTTTGTGTAAAATATGTGAAGCGAAGTTGATCGTATGACTGGTTTCAATGTTATAAAGATCATTCAGTTCGAAAATGAGGAGGAATCAGATTTTTCTCGTAAAGGTTTACTTGTATACACCAGTCGTTAAAATACACTTAATCACAGTGTTTAACAAGACTCATTAAGTATGTTTAAAATGAGTAAATTATAAAATAATCCAGAAAGTTCATCTTTACGAGGCAGTATTTTTATGAAATCAAAGTTGTGTTACATTATGCTTAGAACAAATACTTATTCATCTGACTCAATTTATTTAAGTCATGATTTTATTGATATTATATATACTATCTGGCTAATTTGGATATGGTACTAAAAGTAATGTGATAAGTATACCTGTCATATTCTGTACATTCAATTAACTACTAAACTTTGTGAACGGATCTGGATAGCAGTGAGGATTAACCTTTGTTATGATAAATTGTTAGCTAACTAACTGCAAATCATTGATGTCAATGAGTTAATATTCTTCAAACGTTTTTGAAAAACTCACAATATCGCAGTCATTCTAAATCAAATTTTCTCTGGTTCAGCAGTAAATGTTATCGTAACATTTGATTGTTCTATTTTACAGGGAAATTCTATTCAGTACCTTTCGATATGCAATTATGTTCGTTAGTTGTTATAATTTTACCAGCTTACAACGTGCTGAATAAGAGAATATTGAGAATCTCATAAATAAGATAGATGTTTGAGTTCGTTACGTTTTTTTATATGAAGTTTATATGAAAATGTTCACCCTCAAGTAACTTAGTTAATTTGAGTAAGAAATCGGCAGTTATTCGGGACGACTAAGACTCAAACATTTCGCGAAAGAATTTCTTTACAGTTATTTATTGTTCCTTGAAGGAATACTTTGGGCTAAAAATAGAAACACCACTGTTAATCCCATGTTAAATCATACGTCATTAAAATCTTCAATAATCGAAATTAGTAACTGTAAATAGAAAGTCATACCTGTAGTTGAAAAAGCATCAGTATCTTGTTATTCTAATGAAGGAAACTATTAATTTCATAAAGAGACCTGTTATTTATAATTGATACTGATATTACCGAATTTTGATAAAACTCGCTGTTAAAATAGTTGTTAATTCATTAACGAAATTGATTTATAAATTTTTTTGGCTGAGATACATTCATTTCAAAAAGTATTTATAAGCGAGGGATTATTTTAGACTCTCAAATAAAATCTGGGTTCCAGACTAAACTCTAACTAACAATCTAGGTCAATAATGGAACGACTGAGTTAAAAAATATAATTATCAACTCTCATTTTCAAACCATTTACCCAATGTTATAATCATATGATTACAAGTGGAATAATAGGTTTAACAAACCCAACCGTAAACGTCTTAGTTCATAACCACGGTATAGACTTAGATGATCAAAATGTATTAGTTTAAAAAGAAAGTCTCACTTCGTTTTTCACATTTACACTAAATATCAAGCTTATGAGTGAAGTATTTTGGTGAAAAATAACATGTAGGAATACTTGATTTCCTGATTACGTCCAGTCAAATTACAAGTTTCTTCTTGATAAAATGACTTAACTTGTTAGAAACTATAAATTGTAATGTCTATATTCACCGTGAAATATTTTTGATCTAATAGTTATTGTAAGAACTGTTTCATTCAATTCTTATTCGAAACAACACCTAATTGAAAAATAAATGAATATCTGCTTGAACATGTACTTGGTCGGATATAAATAAGGAATTGAAAACAAATAGAATAGCTGAATGTCTAGGAATATTTTATATTTAGATTGTTTTAAAAACAGTAACATTGTTCTCTTCACATTTGAATGAAATGAGGTATTGAACAGGCATTAGCAATGAGCTAAAATACAAAAAAATAAAATATTTAAGTTTTTATAACTTCCATGATGTCACTTAAATATAAATTATGATAACAATAAAATGGTTAATTGAATTCATAAAAACCTATTCAATTTAATTGTGTTGTATTTGAAGATTGAATGTAATTTCCGTAGATTGCTATACAGAGAATAGCTTTAGCTCGATAATTTAGCCAAGTATAACATTTTTGGGATAAAAGCAAGTACAGAACTCTGTTTTGATGCAATGTATGTTCCAGTCGTTTTCAGCAACGATATGTAATTAAATATTTAAGGTTCTATATATAAGGCATGAAAATATTTTGGTATTGTGTAAGTTTCCATTCAGACATTTATTAAATAGGCGAACGAAGCGAAGAAATTCCCTTTCAATGAGCTTCTCACCATGAACCTACCTTTATAATATATATATATATATAATACTAATCAGATTGTGGAGTAGCGTTAAAGGAATAATATATCGGAATCACTATCAAGTAATATTAGAAGATCTATTGAGTGATTAGAAGAAAGAAGACCATAGTAATTAGAACAATAATTAGTGAGAATCAAAATATTTATTTGAACGGTCGTTAGGCTACTCAATATTTAAAATAGGAGATAACAAAGTAGTTTGATAAAAGTCGATTTTATAGTAGTTCTTTAAGAGTCGAGAGATGAATATTGAGGCTATATAAAAATAGGAAGTTGAAAAAAATTAGAATGTTTAAATATTTTGGGAAGGAATGGGGGTTAATAAAAGTTTATCTAAAACATACTTCAATATCGATGGCCAAGGTAGAAAGAGGAGTTGTATAAACGTCTTGTAGGCTTAGAGATTAAGTTTACAGATTTCGATCACGATCATTTCAGCAATATACAGTATAAGAACTCGTCAACCACGAGGTAAGTTTGATGGATATCTTTCAAAGTCTTATACAGTTCAAGTTGATGTTTTTCGTCCACCAAATGAACAAGAATAAGACTCGTAATCACTCTTACCTGTCCTTTCCTCAACCAAGCCAGATAATGTTCTAGTGTACGAAAACGAACTTGTCAAATCGTATGCCCTACATGAATGGCTCAGGACAGGTAGATGAATATATAAATACTCATGGATGCGGTGAATTTAGGTAATCTGTTTCATTGATGGTTTTTATAATGAAATATTTGCTTAAATTTCATGTCTTTGGTTACTAAACTAATTACTCGAAAAAAAGAAAAAATCTTTATATGAAGGTGTAGTGAACCAAATCATTATTCTTGTAATTAGTTATTTTCTGTACAAGGCTCAGTAGTTAGAATTGATTCATCTAGTTCTACACAATGACCGATGTCATTTGGATCGTTCATTAAAGTCATTTCTAAACAACACTTATTTGATGTGATAGATTAATGTAGAATTAATTTCTTTATGGAAAACTTATCAAGTTTAATGGAAATATGTATTCAACGACTAGTCGACAACATAAATAAGTACTCAGTAGACTTCAATGACATTTTGTCTAAACAGGTGAGGGTTCAAATTCCAGCCTAACGAATCTGGTAATGCGATCGTTTTGTAGTGAAATACATTTTACTGTAGACACTTTCAGATGTATTTGTCTTGAAGTAGATGTTAATTATTAAAGACAAAAATTTTTGGGATTAATAGTGTTTGAAATATCATGAATCAAATAAGTACTTTCAGCTGTGATCCGGCCTCAAATCACCCTTTGTTACAAATATGATTTAACGGATCTAAGAGCTGGATTAACATAAAAATCTGTATTTACTATTGTGTGAGGTTTCTAGGGACTGAATTAGCTACAAGTTTAGACAAAATGAAATTCGCAGAATAATTAAGAAATACATGAATACAATGAAAATACTTACTAACCTATCCACATCATAACCAGTTATGTAATGCCACGTAGGAAGATAAAGTTTATTCAGTTTGCTTTCTATGAATTTTTTCATTTGTGTATATTCATTTCCATACATATGTAATGCTGCAACGACAGTGCTTATAACGTCCATTTGCATTTTTTCATCCATAGTTACTTTTTTAATTTGTATTGATTTTTCATGAATTCTGAATCTCTTCATATTTTCTTAAAACTAATTACGATAGCTTTTACCTTAAAAATAACTTATATAATTCATAATACCTATCACATGAGTTAATCTTGGAAATCAACGAACATGTTTTTGATTGTATAGTATGTTATACAGGTTACACTTGAGTTACTCTAGTTAAAAGAAAAATAAAATATGAACGCACGAAATTAAAGAAATACCTTACCAATCTTATGGGTGATTAGTTACTCATTCTCTGTTCGATATGAATTTTAAAGTGATAACTTAGAGGGTTACCATTTCACTAACATCACGTACATCACGTGTTTAAATTATACATTGGTGATAATTAGAGCTGTTGTATTACTGGTGTTTAAAATAATAGTTTTGTAGCAACATTTGTGTAGTACGTAATGTTTTCGAAATCAATCAGTGTGATAATTCTATAACATTAATCTTTTTAATATCATTTAACACTTTTCAGTCATCAATGAATGACTTAACTGAAATGAATAGCTTAACAACTATGATATTAATGTTGTTCCTTAAAAGTTATTTCCGTTCTTTTTCTTGAGAAAAAAATGATTAAAATTTTCATATATAAATATAGTTTATCGTTTAGGTAATACAACCGATTGATTTCAAAAGTCAATCAATCTGAACTAAAATATTCATGACAGTGAATTCACATCTTAAACGAATTTAGGAGGGTGACTGTAGGTTGCGTTGCAAACGTGATGTGTTTTAGATCTAAAAATGGTTTAATAAAACATTTTTTTATATATGTTAATCAGACCTATTCACTTCTGATGTTATTTTGTCTATGTACATATCAATTATATTCACATGACAAATATTATTACATAAGTTAAACTCCATTAAGCCTGCTGAATTTCTACAAAGACATCTTCAGTTTTCACTGTAATGAATTTGATCGTTTATTTCCGATTACATCTGTGTTCTTTATTTTGCTTTAAGTTATTAACATTAGAATAAAAAAACTTCAACTTAAGTACTTGTAGACTAAGTATTTTGATCTCGCATGGTTGTGTAAACGATGAGCAAACACTGATATAAGAAAGAGGGCATCAACGAATGGTAATCTCTAGTGATATCAATACTAATTGGATATTACTTCCAAACTTAAAAGTTACACGTATTCCGCAGATCTGTTTATCAGTTTTAGTTTGAATGTTATAAACATACATTCATTGTCAAAATTAAGCCTTGAATTCCGTAAACTTTTATTGTTTGACATTCCAAAGTTTATATAGAAATATCGGTAAAGTTTTGAAATATATTTTTTTATTAGTTATTTATCACAGAGCACAAATCCCTGAAAATCCATCTATTTGTTAGTTAAATAAAATATATAGGCATTCTATTTTTAATAGTTGAGATCGCGAGTCAATTGAAGCTAGACCACCACGGAAAACCTGGAAACACTGGACTACCGTTTCGTTCTATTGTGGAACTCCTTAGCAGTGCGAATCCACGACCCCGCCTTGAGAGATTCGAACTCATGCTCTATTGGTCTCCCGCGCGAACGCCCAAATTGCAAACCAGTGAGCCGGCATAATAGGACGAAATGTCCATCCAGTGCTTCCAGGTTTTCCATGGTTGTCTAGCTTCAATTGACTCATGATCTAAACTATTAAAATTACCATAATATCCAGGGAAACCCCTTCTGATATTCTATTTTTGTCAATAATGAAGTTTAAGACAGCCCACTTGACTTTAAACATTGTGGAACGCATGAATTGTCTAATGCATTCATGACCAGATGGCTTTTGTTGTATGGAACTAATTTCCCAGCAACCCTTGATTAGTTTGTGTTACATGTTTCAACTTGCTAAAGAAAAATGAGTACAATCCATTTGTTCAAAATAACCGAATTAAAAATAATACTGCTTAGATCATAAGATGACAATGATGTATAATGGCATTATATTATATGCATTAGTAATTTGGTGATAATTAACGAGTATTGTACTTTTTATTGGTCATTCTTGACCAATTTACGCTGTTTAGGTTGACATTATAATCTTTAAGTTCTGCAGACATAAATTTAATACTTTGTATAAATCCAAAACTAGTGAATAATATTTTACAAATCTTCATAAGGAAATCAAAGACAAAGAATATTAACCACATGAAATCCTCCAGCTACGTATTTTATTCACATGATTTATTCTATTATTATTACACTGACTATAACTTGACACTTTTCAATGAATCATTTTATTCTTTTGTATATGATATTTCGACTTCGCAAATGATACGTTTTTGAAGTATTTATGTCATAATAGCTGCAAACGTTCACTGTTTCCAACATAAAACATTGTTTAATTTATTAGCAGATCTTATTTTCAGAAAGGGTTTTGTGGAGATTTCAGTATTGTCATGGTTGAAATCATGAGTCAATTGAAGCAAGACCATCAAGGAAACGGCCGTCCAGCGCTTCCAGGTTTTCGTTGGTGGTCTAGCTTCAATTGACTCATAATTTCAACTATGAAAAGATCTTGTTTTGGCGTTTTTAAAATAACACACCAACTATGGACTTATAATTGTAAAGCCTGACAACATAGTGATTAAAAACAATTTTCCGCCAAATATTCTGTTATCAATGATCGTAACAAGTAGTAACAACCGGTCAGTTTTCTGGGCGTACGAATACAGGAATTCGGTTAGAATTAATTGTGTAATATTTTATTTGAGAAACATATAGTAAGTATTAGATGGAATGTCGAATAAATCATATAATAGACAGAAATCGTTAGGAATACTCAAAAGCAATCCGTATAGTTTGTTATTATTTATTGAACAAGGATTTTAAATGATACTTAGTTTGTTCATTGTAATTTTTCCGATTTTGTGTGTTTAGTGGTATGAGAATACACCAATATTAGATTGTATATTCATTTTAGGTATTCGAGTTGTTTCAAAACTCTGGTTTTAAAAAAAATCAATAATTCGATTTACCATGACATTCGTCATTATCTACTTTTATTTAAGATTTTTGACGAAGGATGAAATCACATGCCATATGAATCTTTTTTGTCCTTATAATTTTAATTATAATACATATATCTACATGGGGTTCTACATACAACTCTAGGCCTACACTCCTGCAAAAATTGCACAGATTACAGATATAAAAAAATGATAATCATGTGTTGAGTTTTATTACTGATGAAATAAAGCTGCTTATAGAAAAAGATATTTTGCAAAATATAATTCTGTCATACCATACAGGGTTGATTAGAAATAAAGTAAATTTTGAATATCATCAATTTCAATCTTGAACATAGAATCTATTCATTGAATAAAATAATTAAAGGAGTTTATTACATAGTTGGCTTCATAGGCTAATACAAACATCATATAATAAAGTAGACCTACTTTAAAGAAAGTTCATATTATTCAGTAATAGCATGTAGTCATTTTCATTTGATAAAATATGAGATTCATCATTAAGTATTTCACGAATGAAGACAGGTAAAATAGTAACGCATAAATTATAACCAATTATTATGAAAGTAAATTAAATGGTAATTTCAGATATAAACCCTAAACAAACAAAAAAATAAAACTTTATAACTAGTATTTACTACCATAAGTAAACAAATATAAATGGCCATAGATAAATCACGTGCAGTAATAGATAAATCAGATATGATACCTGAAATGGAAGAAGATGCTGTTTATGTAGCTGCAATGGCAATGGAAAAACATAATATTGATATGCATATTGCAAGTTATATTAAACATGAATTTGATCGTAAATATAAAGCAACTTGGAATTGTATTGTTGGAAAAAATTTTGGAAGGTAGTTTGATCATTTACGAAACTATTTAGTTTGATTTAAATTTACAGTTTTGTTTACTATTCTTTCTGCATTGAAAATGTTATATACCTTTAAAGATAAGTTATATTCTGTAGTTCGTAGTTTAGGTTCTAATGAAAAGAAATTCACTTAGTATTGCTTGTTCGACTCTTCCCATTGATGTTTAGGACTGCAATTAATCGGTCTCTTATTGGCATATGTGTATGCTGTGCGTATTGCCTAGATATAGCCTTAATTCTCAAGCATTATAAGCAAAGATGAACTGACCAGTTGTAGTCCTAAACAGCAATGAGAAGATTCAAACAAACAATACTGAGTGAATTTAGAATTTCACCGTATGGCATAAGCAGGTGGCTATCAGGGCTCAGTAGCTGAGTGGATAGCGCGATGGCTTTTGAATCGGAAGATACTGGGGTCGAGTACCAGAGTGAACATTAACTCTGAGATTCAGGTACATCCAACTGACGAGTCCCAAATAGGAGGAAACATGCGTCCTGGATTCCACTGCTAGACACTATCCATCTTTGCTCTAGTGAAAATAGTTTAAAAGTAGGCATTTTAAAGCAAACTAACATTATACATCATCCATGTTTTTTCGCTTTAATTGTGAATTTTTATTACCTAATAATTATAAGCTACTTATATTGAATTGTGTTTTCTTATTTCTTTAGCTTTATACATCATGACAGAGGAGGATTTATAAGCTTTCGTTTAAATAGTATGAATATACTACTCTTTAAATTGGGATAAATTTAAAATGATACCTATGTATGAATCATTTATTTACCGTTTTAATGTAAATTATATAATTGTATATTTCTAGTTTTTATTTTTTTTTAAATATAGTAATAATAATAAATTAATTCTTTAAAGCTGTTTGTGTTTTAATATGCGTTTTGGTTGAGTTGCTTAAATCCAAATCTGTTGTCAATTAACAATATAAATCAGGAAACATAAAGTACAATTTTTATTGAACTACCACCGAAATAAAATACAATAATTCAGTTTATATACTTACTTACGCCTGTTACCCCTCCTGGAGGAGCATAGGCCGTACACTAGCATTCTCTATCCATTACAAAAGAAATCGATTTATATACTAAAGTCAAAATGTAAAATAAGGTATATAGTATGATTATCTACATAAGTATATCATAATTAATAGTATGTTTAATAATTGTTTCCAATATATTTTGTAAATTATATAAAAGATGGTCTATTTTTAAATGTTGATTGGATGACCTGTTTAGTATACAATGAACTAGAGAACCATTTACCTACTTATATCCCATAATTTTGATGTTCGATTATATTTCCGTGGAAAAGCTTGGATTACATTGCCAGGCGAAAAGTTGGAGTTACTTCAAATTCATTCGCTGAGGTTTTACAAATATATATTCTTCAAAATCAATATCTCACATCAACTCAGCACCCAAATACTATGAAACTATTCGTTCTAATTTAGACGAAAGTTCTTATATATTCAATTTTGTTATGAAATTAAGGAGTAGACAGTAGTTATTTAATGTATGCTTCTTAGTATAATAATTGAGCTTTATCGATTTTTACTGAAGGTTTTGTGTTAACAATTCTGTAAGTTAACGTATTTAGTAGTAATATCAGTTTTTAATAATAAATATTTTCAACATTTTAATTTTTTTTAAATGATGATGTACATTAAGATTGGTCAAAGGTGTATTTCTGATTTTCAACTAGTATGGTAAAATGTCTTATTGAGTACTCGAAGATATTCACTATAGTATTGGCGTCTGTGTGACTGTAAAATATGTAAATATATTGCCTAATATTGTTTTAATTTGAAAATCCACTGTTTAATCATAAAATATTACTACGATTATGTAGTTGAGGTTAATTATCTTTAATTTTTTATGAAATCTACTGTTGGATAATGGAAAATAGTGTCGTAGGAAATTACATCAAATCTTTAATTGGGAAAACGATGAAATGTATCAGAGTTGAAAAAAGTCTTTTGCTGGTTATTTATATATCAACATGGGGTGGTAGAGATTGTTGCGTGTTTGATCATCATTGAAAACTTTATATGAGCCTCCTTAGCATTGAGCATCTACAATTCGAATAAATAGTTATCCCTTAAGCTCTACGTCATGAGGGATCGTCCATTTAAGATTTAAAGATAAGGTGATCCGTTGATTAATATGTTTTCTAAACATACCATCGTTTAGGTTTATCAGGATTTTTAAAAACTTCAGTTTATAATTTCAATTATATGCATACGCTTTTCGGAACTGATGAAGTGAACTTTATTTGTCCATCAATTCACAGATCAAAATTTTTTATATGATATCAGTTTTCGTTATTCGACATGAAACAGTTAATGAAATGGTGATCAAGAAATAAAATAAATTGTATTTCTTATCATCATTATTATAACTGTTGAATGGTAGACGACTGATAAATATTGATTTCTAGATAGTATTTTGCCTTAATATTATTTATCATTTGATTTAAATAATGTATAACTCGAAAAGACTTTGTTACAAAGAGGAGGTTTCTGTAATGAATCAAGGTCTCTTAAAACGAGAACATTTTCATAATGGTTTAGGCATTTTATTTTATCTCTAAGTATTGTGAACTACAAAGCAAGATCTTCACTGTCCTACCCAAAATGGGATTAAACTTTTGAAATATCTTTCCAGTTACTCTTACTAGTCTTTATCTGCTTCTGTGGAACTGGTATATTTTATTAAATGATGACAAAGTTATATGGAAATATTTGTACTGATGACAATAATTGTTTACTTTATACAAGGTAAATGATAACAGAATTGCTTGTTGCTTACTTAATTGGTGATGCAATTATGTTTATTCACTTAGTGTTATTTATTTACCTGTGATTTATGTGCATTTTATTGCATCTTAGTTCACTCTGTTGATAGTCAGAAAGTTGATGCCTTTACATACTTCCTAGCACAAATGGTTTAGATTCTAAAGAAAGTATATATGTCACCATGCATGATCAAAACCCTAATACGGATTCGTACTATTATAATTTCATAGAAAGTAGCCTAAAATATATAAGTTGTATGGATGCCTTAGACCAGAAAAATCAATCAAAAATCAAAATAAACCAGTGTCCACTAATTACTCCATTGTCAGTTCTTTGATTGAAAGAAGCTATTCTAATAATATATATGACGAGACAAAGGAGAATACTTTATTTGTCACAGAAATCATGAGCTTTAATTCTCAAAAACTTATTTAAATTTTTAATAAAATTTAATTAAATGTACACTCAAAATTTCTTAAGGAACATTGATTTCTCAATAAGTTAGCTTTAATCTTTTCCTAGGAAGATGTGAAAATAAGAGCATAGGGCGATTGACAGTACCGATTCCAAGTTATTCAAGCAATGTTTCTACTAACAGTTAAGGACAGATTTCCATTTAAGTTGGCAAAAGTCAGAGCTTGATATTAGATGGTAAGGGAAACTTTTTCGTGAAAAACCAATAACGTTTTAATCGGACTATAGTAAATATTTTTATTATATTCTCCAGTTAAGTAGCTAGGGTAAATCTCGCCGAAGTGCTACGGTCATCTAAGAATTATTCCTAGGTATGAAGGTTTCGTCGTTACTGTGACAACTATGATCATTGTGTATAAAATTTATTTAAATTTCGTCAGCTACTTTTAAATCATAAGTAGTTGTGCTAAATTATGGATGAATTTAAAGAGTAAATACTCTTTTAAATATTTATCAACATTTCTGATTTTAAAATTCATGATAAAAAAAATTACTGTGTAAGAGGCTGTTTTATTTATTTTAGAATAGTTTCCAATGTTTGATGAAGATGTGTTTACAAATAAACATCATGGTTCTTTACTGAAATGTTCTTATCTTTCACAAATTAATGTATCATCGTTAAATAGGTGTACTCAGCAGTGAAGTATATCAATGGTAATACTTCTTTGTTTGTTATATATTTCACATCTGGACTAGATTTTACATATCTGAGGAAAATTTTTGTTCATCCAATAATTTAAAAAATTATTGTTTTTCATAAATGCAAAATAGGAACTTAAAAAAGTACTGTAACATTTTACATTTTGAATTCACATAAGAATATGGAAAGGTTATTCTATCATATCCAGTCAATTGTTTAAGCTTTTTTAATACTTAGCGAGACAGTGTTTGCTAACAATGTTTGTTTTGTAATGTCAAAAAGTGTCGCTGACAAATATTCAATAAGAATTACGCAAAAGTTTCGTCCGATAATTTTATAACCAAGAACTATCTCTGTGAGAGTATATTGAGAATATTCAGAGAGGAAGTTTTTCACCAGTTCGTTCTTAGGAAACTCAGATAAGTGATTAAATAGAAAAAAATAAAACGAGTATAAGATCACATTCATAATTTGCGAAAATTTCATAATAGTAGTAGTATTAGTAATATTTCCCTCCAACAAATTAAGCGAGCCCAGTAGTCTCTTCGGGAAAAGAAAGAAAGCCTTACAGAGGTGCGCAAACGAATCACTGGAGAAAACAAAGTAAACGAGTACATTAGCAGTTCACTCTGAAATTCGTGCATGTCATTAAGGAATTCGAAACTTGTAGTGCAGGCGAACATCTTCCAAACAACACTATTCTGTAGTGCGGACGGACGCTTTGTAGTCTACACTTTCCTATTTCTTTCGGAAACTTGTTAACGAACCAAAAGTGTTAAGAGATATGGTGAATAATCCAGTTTAAAATGTGAGAATACCGTAAGTATGCTCTACACGTATTTAAAGAATGCCCAAATAAAAGATATATACATCCAAAAGTACACATACAAACATAGATGCTCGCGGTCACAAGTATACGTTACATGTAATATAAAGAATGCATAACCTGATACCTACGCACTCCATAGTACACAAATAAGCACAAATGCTTCCGATCGCAAATATATTTCATATATTGTCTTTATCGAGTGTACACGAGAAGACTCATATCTTTTATGGTAATGCATATAGGTGTAAATATTGGGCACACCTTGAGGAAATCAGCCAATTGCGTCACAAGACAAGCCCTCACATGGAATCCTGAAGGTCAAAGGAGAAGAGGAAGACCAAAGAACACATTACGTCGAGAAATGGATACATACATGAGAAGAATGAACAAGAACTGGATAGAACTAGAAAAGAAGATCCAGGAGAGAGTGGGTTGGAGAAAGCTGGTCGGTGGCCTATGCTCCATTGGGAGTAACAGGCGTAAGTAAGTAAGTAAGAATATAGGTGTAGATGTGATCGCTTCAGGCCATAGCACAGCGGCTTCCAAACACTGAATCAATAAAAAGTACTCAAATCAATTAAGAAATAAGTCGTCATGTATGATATGCTCTCGTCACAATCATACCACAAGCAGTTTTAGTGTCGACTCTTGCACACTGGTAACGACATAGTTTATGAACTTCACTCTAGCTCGCTCAGTTCAGATCTATTGAATCTTCCAGAAGGAGTCCAGTTAGGCATCGAAAGAGAAGTTTCCTCTAGTACCTCAATCATCTTTTCAATCCAAGGTTAACTTCTCTTGTCCATTGATCAAATAAGGATAGGTTGAGCGATTAAACTGATCTTCATCCATGGTATAGTGAGTGATCAGCCCGGTCATCAATTCACTGCTCACGTTAGTTCATAGGGAAATTTCTCCTACTAACTGGTGAGCACTAAGGGGAAGTGCGAGTCAACCTTTCCCTCCAACATAATAGTATAGAATTACAATTTATTAGAAAGTTTACAAGCTAATGAATTTGTTCTACTGTGTAGAGATAATTATTCAGAAATTTATTTTACCGTAAATATCTGTATGATGGTCAAAAACAAATATGTATTTCATATGAGGCGAATCGAAG